ATTACGGGCTTGCGATGTACTGGGGAAGAAGAAGCTAGAACCCGTATTATACGAAATAAAAGGTTATTGGATTTATATTTTGGCGGTAAAGGGCCAGTTACACCACCACAGTTAGAGGACGCATTTAGGAGATGCGATCACATGTTAGACAAGTTGAAGTTAGGATTGGTGTATATACTGGAGAGTATATTGAGGTGTCGACATCGTAGGACGTCGATTGATCTTTTTTCATTGGATGTTGTTGATGATATCGATGCTTTTAACAGCTTTCCATGGGGTCGGAGATGTTACACCGATACTCTCCATGTATTCAGAAGGGTACATACTATGCCGAAATCGGAGAGGGGCGATCGCAAATATGATGTATATGGCTTTTGCATTGCTTTGCAGGTAAATATTCAGTATAATGTAATGCGTGTTAAACTTTTTTATTAAATGTATATATAAAGTTTTATTTTGTAATTGTTGCAGTTGTGGGTATATGAGGCTATCCCTACTTTGGGTAGCAAATGGACGATCAGAAGGGAGACCAGCTGCCCACGAATGCTTCATTGGCGAGCACATGAAAAGCCATCGGCTAAAGATTTGACAGTTATCCTCGACGATCCTCAGGTGAGTATTATATATTTTCAATTTATATTGTACATACATTTACTCAGCTCGATACATGCTCGTTAACACATTGAAATATGATATGTCACCTCGAAGTTCATGCTGAGTTGGTTGTTTCGGTGGAAGAGGAGGATGCAATATATGTACATGAGTTACTTGTTCCACCTACTGAAGACGATCCAGTATTTGAGTCCGATCCGGATAGAAATATAGGACGTTTATTTAAGATCATTATTTATTTTGACTTATAAATTCATGTGTGGATTATTAATATTAATTGTCTTCTCTGTGTAGGAGCGCCATCAGGAACTTCCACTTAGGAGATCTCCTTTGCCTCCACCGATGAAATCGCCTCTACCGCCATTATCTCATTCTCCGAGGATATCTCCGTCTCCCGTACCCACCCACCTCCCACGTGGATCGCCTACACCCAGTCAGACCCGTCATTCAGATGATTTCTTTGCACGCATGACTGGCATTATTAGAGAGGAGCTGGGAATGATGCGACGTGATTTTATGACAGAGGTAGTCGCATTACGAGAGGAGATAGGGGTGTTGCGACGGGATTTTACGACAGAGATCGTCGCAGTACGAGAGGAGATAGGGGTGCTGCGACGAGATATAAGAGACCTTCATACTGAGGTTGCAGCACTTCGAGGCGATGTAGCAAGCTTCCGAGGGAATGTCGGGGAGACTGGTGTCCCTCGAGATTGGTGGGCAACGACCGCAGGAATCGATGAATTTTTTGGTTCGGTGCCGGAGGCCGGGAGGGAGGGGGTGGAGGTCGGGCAGGAGGAGCCGGAGGAGGTCGGGATGCCAGGGGTGGAGGTCGGGCCGGAGGTGCCGGAGGAGGCCGAGATAGAGGGGGTGGAGGGAGGGACAGGGGTGGCCGAGGAGGTAGCGGAGGGGACATCAGAGGTGGTAGTACAGGGGGATGATCAGGTTGCGGAGGACGAGAGGACGCCAGAGATGACGAATGACGAGGTAGTATTCGTGTCGGAGGGGACGACGGAGGTCCCGAAGGGTAAGAAGCGTGCTACTGACGCGCCAGAGCTGATGGTCGGTAAGAGATCAAGATTGCCATCACAGTACATCGTTTTCCATACATGGCCGAGGCGAAGAGAAGGGAGTTTGTGGATGAGGCGTTCCCCAATCTTTTTCGCGACATCGACCCAGTCAGACAGAAGGCGTTCGATGATTGGTTCAAATCCCTTAAGTCCGAGTAAGTATTTTACGATTTTGCTACTATTTTTTTGTATTTTTCGTAACTGTTTTTTCATTTTTCAGAGATAGTTATACCATCGGTTGTATGACCGTGCCCAATGCTAAAAAGTGGTTTGAAGATGCACTGACGACCTCAGCTTGGCTCGCGGATGATGTAATTTTTTTGAGTTCCCGTTTATTATATTTATAGAAGTTGTTGGTTCATTTACTTAAATGGCTCTATCTTTTTTGTTGGTGTTTTTTTGTTTCAGCATATCGACTTGGCTATGGAATTGTTACGCGATCGGGCGCGGAGATACCCGAGATCTTATGACAGTTCTACTCGAGTTATCCTGAGCTCTGAGTTCATTCGTGTCGTAGATATTGAGCATCACGAGCTCCTAAGCAAGGGGAATGATTATGTTCTGTCTGAGTACATGCTGGAGTGGGTGATTGGACTACAGTTGAGGTGCGAAAAGTCGTGGACGGATTGTACACATATGTATATTCTAGTGATCGCGAACTCACACTGGTTTTCAGTGGAGATCGTATTTGCAAATTCCACCATATATGTGTACGACTCTGATCATAGCTGTCTGACACAAAGTCAACTGGAGCAAATACTGGAGCCATTGGCTGTGATCGTGCCCATGATGGCTAGTCATGCGATAATTTGAGTAAATGATAGATTAGCCATTGTGCGGAACATGACAACGACGAGACAAGAAAGATCATAAGGATTTACAACTTTTTAATTTTCAGATTTAATTTTCAATTATATGTTATGGAACTAATATAATCTACTTCGGTTGCAGGGTTGACTGTGGCTTATTTGCAATCAAGTACATAGAGTTCTTGAGCATTGGTCGCAATGTTGATATAATAAATCAGTTTTGGATTAATATGTGGAGGCATAAATTAGCTTGCGACTTGTATGAATATAACTGTGATCCTTAGTGCATTGTATATTATTTTATTAAAATATAAATGTTGTTTACATCAGTAGGATTCTTGTTGTACTGAAAGAAATAAATAATCGAAATAGAGTATATTGTATGATATTATTTTGAAAATGTAAAATTTTTTTATTTAATTGTGACTCAAATTTTTAATTTAATTGTATATTTATTGCAATTTTTTAATAGTTGATTTGGATCATATAATGATAATCGGGAATTAAATGGGCTAAACCGGATGCAATTGGAAAAAAAATGACCGATTCATGTAATATTTGGTTCAAAAAAAGCTTTAAAAAGTTTGGGGACCTAATTGCAACTTTTTAATAGTTGATTCGAAACATAAAACGATAATCGAGAATTAAATGGACTCGGTTGGATTCAATTGAAACAAAGATGACTGATTCACGTAATGTTTGGTTGAAAATGGCTTTAAAAATTTTGGGGACCTAATTGTTAATTTTGGGGACCAATTAAGATAATTAATTAAAGAAATAGTAAAACGAAAAATCGAATAAATATTATTATTTTTATTCAAATAAATAATCGAAATTGAGTAATTAAATATGAAATAAATAAAACACATGATTAACGAAATATTTAAAGAATAAATTAAATTGAATAATATTTTTTTTACTTAACCAATTAAGATAATTAATTAAAGTAATAGTAAAATGAAAAATCGAATAAATATTATTATTTTTATTCAAATAAATAATCGAAATGGAGTAATTAAATATGAAATAAATAATATACATAATTAACGAAATATTTAACGAATAAATTAAATTGAATAATATTTTTTTACTTAACCAATTAAGATAATTAATTAAAGAAATAGTAAAACGAAGAATCGAATAAATATTATTCAAATAAATAATCAAAATAGAGTAATTAAATATGAAATAAATAATATACATAATTAAAGAAATATTTAACGAATAAATTAAATTGAATAATATTTTTTTTACTTAACCAATTAAGATAATTAATTAAAGAAATAGTAAAACGAAAAATCGAATAAATATTATTCAAATAAATAATAGAAATAGAGTAATTAAATATGAAATAAATAATATACATAATTAACGAAATATTTAACGAATAAATTAAATTGAATAATATTTTTTTTATTTAACCAATTAAGAGAATTAATTAAAGAAATAGTAAAACGAAAAATCAAATAAATATTATTCAAATAAATAATCGAAATAGAGTAATTAAATATGAAATAAATAATATACATAATTAACGAAATATTTAACAAATAAATTAAATTGAATAATATTTTTTTACTTAACCAATTAAGATAATTAATTAAAGAAATAGTAAAACGAAAAATCGAATAAATATTATTCAAATAAATAATCGAAATAGAGTAATTAAATATGAAATAAATAAAACACATGATTAACGAAATATTTAAAGAATAAATTAAATTGAATAATATTTTTTTACTTAACCAATTAAGATAATTAATTAAAGAAATAGTAAAATGGAAAATCGAATAAATATTATTATTTTTATTCAAATAAATAATCGAAATAGAGTAATTAAATATGAAATAAATAATATACATAATTAACGAAATATTTAACGAATAAATTAAATTGAATAATATTTTTTTACTTAACCAATTAAGAGAATTAATTAAAGAAATAGTAAAACGAAAAATCGAATAAATATTATTGTTTTTATTCAAATAAATAATCGAAATAGAGTAATTAAATATGAAATAAATAATATACATAATTAACAAAATATTTAACGAATAAATTAAATTGAATAATATTTTTTTTATTTAACCAATTAAGATAATTAATTAAAGAAATAGTAAAACGAAAAATCGAATAAATATTATTCAAATAAATAATCAAAATAGAGTAATTAAATATGAAATAAATAATATACATAATTAACGAAATATTTAACGAATAAATTAAATTGAATAATATTTTTTTTACTTAACCAATTAAGATAATTAATTAAAGAAATAGTAAAACGAAAAATCGAAATAGTAATATCTCCATATTGTTAGTTAATATATATCATTGTCTCACTTGTTTTAAAAGAAAACAAACATATACATGACACATAGAAAATACATATGACAAATGCGATAAAAATTAAAAAGAGTAATTAAACAATATGATAAAGATTACATCCAATTTAAATTCAGAAAATCACAAACACATGACAAATAGAGAATACATATGATTTATATAGATACTATACATCCGTCGAGTCATTGTTTAGTGGAATCTGACTTGTACAAAATAGACGTGTATGTCCTGTAGCGCCGCACCTCCCGCACTTACGCGGTTGTGGAAACTCTCCTGTAGATGGTATTCTAGACATCCGTCTACGACCAGGAGTACGCGGTGGAGCTTCAGGTGGCAACAAATTATCAAGTGCTACAATATAATCAGGAACTTCCCACTCGGCTTCATTTGGTAGAGGAAATATAGTTTCGGCATACGCTGCTCTCCAAAAATCAGTCATATAATAATAACTGCACAAATTGTGTGGTGAAAATCCTCTATACATAGCCACTGCGACAGCATGTGCACATGGAAAACTTTCCAACTGAAATTTTCTACACGTGCAGGTATTGTCATTCAAGTCTACAATGTATCCAACATTACGCCCGCATCTCACGGAGAAGCGAAATTGATCTAGTTGTTCCACAAATAGAGCTTTTACCACTTCCAGAGTTTTGAATAGTCGATCGTCCTGTGCCGGAGCTAGCACACTCGTGCAATTTTGGGATTCTTCACGTCAGTCATAAAACCACTGTTGTAACTTGCTGCGAATATGTTCAATCATTACGAGAATCGGTAACTCTCGATCCTTCTTGAATAATGCATTGAGCGACTCTGCATTATTCGACGTCATCATGTTGTATCGACGTCTTGGAAAATGTGACCGTGCCCAATGTTCGACCCCCATATCTGATAGATATTCCCATGCACTTTCTGATTTATGTTCTATTTCGCCCATGAACTTCGTAAACTCTTCAAAGCTGTAAGCTTCTGCAGCTCTCCTAAACAATGCAACGATGCCACTGCCCCGGTACCTAGTTTTCAGATTGCCCTGAATGCGGTATATGCAATAACCATGATGTGCTTCTGGAAAAACTTCGACTATACCATTTATTATTGACTGCCCCCGATCAGTCACAAATGCAAGGTTCTCGATGTTCCCAATTACTTCTCTCAACTTCGTGAAGAACCAACGCATTGCTAGATCATTCTCTCCATCGACAATGCCAAATACAAGAGGATAAATTTGGATATTGGCATCTTGACAAGTAGCAATAATCAACTTTCCTTCATATCTAGCTTTTAGGGTTGTACCATCAACTAGAATTAGAGGTCGCATCGCATTTCGAAAACCTCTAATGCATTGTCCAAGAGCCATAAAAAAATACTTGAAGCGATTCTGCCCATCGGTTTCAATAAAAAACGTCGAGTCAGAATTAGTTCTCACCATGTTGTGGCAATACCTGGCCAATTTGGCATAACTCTCCTCTGTCGAACCCATTAAATCTTCCAATGCACATTCTTTAGTCTTCCAGGCCTTCTGGTAACTCATAACCATCCCATACTCTTGACGGATGTCGTTGATGATATCTGTAGGTCTGTAAATCGCCCGTAGGTCCTGAAACCTGTGCATTATCTGTTGAACAATAAACCATGATCGAGCTTGCCTGTGATCATTTAGATGAATACCCACTTCACAAGTATGTTCCCGCGCATACTTACGAACAACAAAGAACTCATTTGTGTCCATCTTTGTCGCACTCAAACGCCAACTGCAATTGTTGTCCACACAAATAATTGTGTATGTAAACTTGTTTGATTTTTTTACCTTAAACTCAAAATTATGTTTCATTGCAATTCGGTACACGACTTCTTGCAAATCTCTTTTCGTGTCAAACAATTGATCGACATGTAAATCTTCATCATCAGGAACTACACGAGAACAATTAGAAGACCGTGTACTCGGCCCAGCATGTGAGCTCCCACCAGACTCATGTCTCTGTTTGGATAAAGCAATCAAATCCTGATTTGTAAATGGCCTTTCATCCTCGTTGTCTTGAACTTCCTCGTAAATTCTTCGTGTAACGGTGACATCATGGTGAGTAGCAACTGCCCCAGGAATAACCACATCATCCTCCCGAACAATCTCAACAGTATCCCAAAAATCATTCTCATTACGATCCTCTCCATCAAAAACTTCGTGTTCACCCTCGATGACATTTTTCTTCAACAAACTTACGCAAATAGGAGTCGTCTTTCGACCTTGGTTCAATTGAATTAGATGCTTTATTTGCGCTTCAAAAGTAACTTTCAAAGGTGGAATCGAAATTGTTGAATGCTTTTGAAATAAAAATCCCAATTCCATATCGTACTGAGAGGAATTGACGTTAAGCATATTTTGTATTTCACTGTACATTTCTGTAAACGAAGTATTTTTGTTATCGAAATAGCAGCAACCCCTTCTCCTTCACTCGTCCATTTCCATTCTCATTGACCATTTTCTTTCCTTTGAAATTCGCTGAAATAACAGATTGGGACACATGCTTTTGCCATATCTGCATTATGAATTAAAAATATCAGAACAAATTATCAGAAATAAAATTATCAGAATCGAGGGGTGGGAAAGTCTCCGGGCCGTCCGGACCGTCCGTTTATTCCGGCATCTGATCGGTGCCGGCCTGAACTTTGGCTCTAATATTATTTTTTCTACCATTTAAAAAAAAAATATACGACTTCAATAAAAATAAAATTAAATACTAGGAAAAGATACTTACCGAATTGAAGTGCTGAAATTTAACTAAATATTTCTGTTGAGGTTGATAACTGATAAGTTTATGAAATTTTGAGGTTGAAGTGGATGAAAAATGAAAGAATTTTTATCGTGTTAGAGTAAACTGATGAAAAGACTGACTTCGTTTTCAAATTTCAATTGAGAAGTGTTTGGATTTTTATTTGTAACTTAAGGATATTTTTGTCTTTTTACCATATTTCTATTTTTGCAATTATATAACTTATTTAAGGGCCTTTTTGTCTTTTACACAAGAAATGGCCATTGTGGTGAATGTTAGATTTTTTTGGTTAAAATGGAAAATGGTTGGTTTGACAAAGCCAAACTTAAAAGTACCCCCCGCATTTGCTGCCTCCTCGCACTCCTCTTCTTCCACAACCACTTTGCCGTCCTCCAATATCTGCAGTAAGTACAAGGACGAGACATCGCTAATCATTCAAAAACTAAGCCTTGCAAATTCACCGTGGCCTGCACCTCTATTGGAGTCTCCATCTTCAAATTGCCAAGATTCCTCCCATTATATGGTGTGTTTACAGCTCACCACGTCATATATTGCCATTTTCAGCCATACTACCTTGGTTAACACTAGCTAGAGTTTCGTTTCATAGCCTCCAACAGCCGACGGTTGCAGCAGCCTATAGCCGCCATCGATCTCCTCTCCGGACTACCTCTTCTCTGTTGCTCACCATCTGTTGCGTTCACTCCTTCTCTGAGCATCTCCGCCATCATTCCCAGCCTCCGCTACCCCGAGATATGGCGGGAACGGGATAGCACAATCTCGGGTCCTCAACGTGTTTTGTAAGTATTATATTTTTGTTCGCTTTATTTTATTTAAGTGATTTTATCTCAAATATTTTTGTTACAGAAGTTAGGGTTGCACGAAAGCGATAATGGAAACTGAAATGGAAAAAGGAAAATCACACTACGCGTGGAAACATTAATTCTAGAAAATGTAGGAATGAAAAGTTAAAAGAAACTTCATAAATGAGTAATCTTTTTGTATTGCATTTGATTTATAAAAAATAATTATTAATACACAAATTTAAACTCTCATTAAAATTTATAGATACATGAACATGAATAAATTAATTTATGCCCTTGTTTGAGCCCTATTCTTTTGCAAAAATTCATTTTTCAATAGTATTTTGATATCATTTTAACTACACATTTTTCAATAAAATAATATTACACGTAAATCCAAAATTTTTCCTTATTTTTTAACCACACATTTTCCATCAATACACTATTCAAAAATTCATTCTATTCCAAAAAATGGAGCTCAAACAAGGGCTATAATAACTTTAGATTCATATAATTCAAAATTCATCAAGTAAAAATTTATTGAGTCTATGTTAATATAAATGTTAATTAATTGAAAATTAATAACACAAATTTCATAAACGACAATAATTATGTAGTATTTATTAAATACGAAGCAAAGGAAGAGATCGCATAAGGTTAGCACTCTACTTTGCATTGCCTTTTCCACGTATGCTTTTCGAGGAGATTAGGCCATGTCATTAGACGTCTCACTTGAGACATGTTGTGAGGCGTTACGTTCTTACTGTAGTGTATTTTCGAGGCGAAAGACATCTACAATGGGCCTCTTTCATTAGCATCCTTTGGTCAGGTCGCACAATAGACGTGATTGACTAATTGATGTGGTAACTTCGCAATAACACTATTTAGCATGTGTTTGGCCCCCATTCTTAGCTAATTTTAATGGATGGAATAATATATTTTTTAAAAATATGTGGTTGAAAAAGAATGAAATTTTTTTGATTTGTGTGTAATATTATTTTATGGAAGATTGTGTAGTTGAAAATAGGAGAGATACAAAGAATGAGAATGAGATAAGAATGGGGGCTAAACATTGGCTTAATCAGATAATATTTCAGCCTATGCTAAGTGGCACATTCTTTGGCCTCATTTGTAAGCATTTGCCTTGAAAAGAAACATCCTTTTTGGCCTTGTAGGTAGAAGGCCTATCCTTTTAGAAACAAGTAAACTCTCTAAAAAAGAGAGATATTTTGAGTTAAAAATGAATGGAAGTGAAAAGTACAAAATTATTAAATTAATACAATGTTCTATTATAAAATTTAAGTTTGCAATTTCATTTTTACATGACAATGTCATTGTAAATAAATTATTACTTTCCTGAAAGACTATTAGCAACTGACTAGAAAGTAAATTCTAATAAATAAGAGGAAAAATTGCAGTAGCGGTTCCTAACATTTTCAGCTTTTGTAGATTTTACATTAACTTTCAATTTGTGCCAATGAAGATCCCTAACGTTTCAAAAATATGCAGTTGGAGTCAATCCATTTGACTGCTAGTTGACCAGAGAAATTAATTTTGACCGAATTCTAAAAGGGCAAAATAATAACTTAACAATTTTAATATAAAAAAATAAAAATTAAAAACATCCTCTTGTAACAATTTCTTCATACCCTATTCCACCCCAACCAACCCAAAAATGGGAAAAATCAATCTTGTTACACTGCCACCTACTGCCGAACGTGCCACTCTTTGAGTGTCGTGCCACCGTCATTCTCTCCACCTCTTTCAAACTTCTTTTCTCATTGTCATTCATTTCTCCAAATCCTCTTTTAATACGCTTGCTTGAAAGGTGGCGAAGGGCGGAGGGGTCGAGGTGGAAGCTTGTGATGAAAGTGGAGGAATCCGGTGGGTCGTATGTGGTATAGGTACATAGGAGAAGGAGCCCTGTTCGTGAAGGAAAGTTCTTGATTTTAAGCTTCGCGTAACATGGGTGATGGGTGTGTCGACTCCAATTAAACCTATCAATTTGGTAGCGAAAGGAAGTTTAAGGGTCAATAAATCATTTAATCAATATAGAAGTTGATTTAAGGGTTTTGCATTGTGTTGTGATTGTGATCTATGATTGCGATTTGGGGATTTTGCTTTCTGTTGGCAGTTGTACTAGAAGCTATGGACGATGATGGCGATGGGGCAACGATTGGCAGTTATGGACAACGATGGATAGCATGGGATCGGTTTTAGGTTTTGTTTCGTGTTGTGATTGTGATTTAGGGATTTTGCTTTGTATTGGTTTTAATGGTTGTGGCCATGGGCAATGGTGGCGATAACGGGCAGGTTGTAGATGACGATAGGTGGCAGGGGTTTGGTTTTGGATTTTACTATGTTTTGATTGTTATTTGGGGATTTTGATATGTTGGAAGCGATGGTGATGATTTGGGTAGAGTAGAAGTTGGTTTGGATGGGGATAGGGTAGAGGTGGAAGATGATGATGATTTTTTAATTTTTATTTAGGGTCTGTTTGGGAGCGATTTTTTCATCCAAAAAATTGATTTTTTGACCGTTATTTTACTATTTCAGCCGCCATATTTGATTTCTTCTCTCACAGGTGGACCCCACTTTTCTCCTAACGGTCAAAAAATCAATTCTCAAAAGCTCTTAATTATTTTAGTTGTTTTATTTGAAAAGAGATAAAGTTATCTTAATTCACAACTTGCCAAAAGCTACAATTTTCACTACAATGAATCCAAACCATGTCGTGCATCTTATGCGCTAGATTCACCTCAACATAAACCCTAGCCTCAACAGGTCTCCACAAATTCATCGTGGCCTAAAAAATGTGCAACAGTATCCCAATTGTTTTAGCCATAGCAAACAGAAAACTTTTAGTATGCAAATGCATTAGTAATAGAGAAAAAAATCCAAGTATGACTAATATAGGTCTCAACCTTCGAGTGAAAATCACAAGTCTACTTCAACACGCACATAAGACAATCCTTAATATACCATGAAGGTTTCAAAAATAGTCTACTGTAGTCATCCTTTTTTATGTCAAATGAATCTATATATACTTATAATTAATAAAGTCCAACTGAAAGTCACTATGAAAGCTAAGGGTGCGGTGGGTTTCCATTTTCATTTTCAAAACGATTTTTAATTTTTTCCGAAAATGACCTTTTTTTCACGTTTTGAGCGTTTTCGACATTTATAACTGAAAACGCTAAAAACGCTAAAAATTCGTTTTGCGTTTTCAGTTATAAATTTTAACTCCTTTTCGAAAATGCGTTTTCGAAAATGACGGACCAAACGCGTTTTTCGCGTTTTCGAAAACGAAAAAGGGAAAATGAGCCAAAAATGACAAACCAACCACGACCTAAACTTTTGTAAATTTCATGTACATTCAATATGCAAGGTTTGCGGCGCGAAAATTCACAAAAAAATGTAAAATTGAATAGCTTAGTTTTTTGTAGTTTCCTGTTCTATAGATAAAACAATAGCTGGCTCCCATGATGTAAGGTAGGCTCCTTACCACAAAGCAACGAAAAATCGAGCCTTGAAGAAAGAAACAAAGGTTTTCCTCGAACTTTTCTCATTTTTAATAAATGATAGGATGCTTGATAACTGCCCTAGCATAGGTTTTTCGACCATGATTAAGTATAGAATCAACCTCATGTGGCAAAGTGAGGGGTCAGGATGGTTCGGAAGCAATAGTGGGACCATTCTTAAAAATCCAGGCAAGCCCTTCATAAATAACACGGGCCCCTATATGGGATCAGAATTGGCTTGGGGAACGAAGGGCATGATCGTGTGGTTAAGTTTGTACACATCTCGAGGCATCTCGAATCCTAATA